ATTTTACTGGGCATATCTGCAAAATACCACTTTAAAATGTTCAAAGACGTCACTTTGAATATTAAGATTCACCTGACTCAAGCAGTGATAGTTTTAATTTATGTCAAGTAAATGGCTCACACAGTTGTAGAGATTGGCAAATCCCTAGTAGGATGGAGGCTTCTCCCTACACTCAAAATCTCAGGAGTTGACAAAATCAAGAGTAGCTGTTCAGACAACTGGCTGTGGATTCACCAGCTACAGAAGCTGATGAATTTAAGATCATTAGAAAAGATGTTAGGCTGCTCAATCTTGATTGTAGAGGCTGTTTTCCCAACATTGATAGGAAATACAACAAGTGACTGGCTCAATTTCAAAGAATCTGAAGTCTGATAATGACTAACCAGATGCAGAATCCAGAATGAGCAAAAGTTAAAAGTGCTTTGACAGAATGCCCATGCATATTGGAAGCATGCCACATTCTGTAGGAAAATTTCTTTTGACTGATTGGCTGTTCACAGTGGATACCATTATGGAAGTCATTATAGCATTTTAGTTTTCATCATGAAAAATGACTACATCATTGTTGCCAAACCAGTGAGAACCATGGCCCAGTGAAGTTGACACAGAACTTTAAATATCACAATCATGGACTATGAAAAGAATGAATAAAAAGCAATGTTGGAAGAAGTATACACAGAATGCTTCTTATATGAAATGATGGCAAGACTTACTTTCCTGTTCTTTGACCATGTTAGCAGAAGGGACCAGACACTGGAGAAGAACATTATGCTTGGTCAAGTAGAGCATCAGTTAAAGAAAGGGACACCCTGAAGAAGATGAATTGACACAGTGGATTCAAACATAGCATGGTTTGTGAAGATTATGCTGGACAAGAGAGTTACAGTGAATTGGAACTGACAAGCTGATGCCTAAGAAGTACAGCATGGGTCAGTCATAGGGAAAATAATAAAAGATCAGGTTAACTATCAAAACAGGATAAATAACTGATATAGTTAACATATTTTGGAAATAATCTCTCTCTCTTTACTTCCCCACCTCCTCCAGTACTTCTTTTTCTCTAAGGAAGGTGTAAAAATTAAAAGGAAAGAGAATTTTTAAATAGTGTCATGGGAATATATGATGAGCAAGTTAATTAAAAAAATAAAATAAAATACTCAGACCCTAACTAAATTCCATTCATTATAGAAGCATTCAAGTAAATTATTAAACATATAACTATTTATGCCATAGGAATCCTTGTACCCTCATTCACTTTAAATAAAAAAACAAACAAACAAACAAAAAAGGCAACCTCAAACCCACTGCCATTGAGTCCAAGATCTTAATATTTAGATGTGCCAAACTGCCGCATTATTCTTCCACAGAAAAGCTGTGGCTTCAACCTGCTGAACTTTTAGTAAACAGTTGAGCAATTTAGAAACTTTGTTGTTGCTGTTTTGGTTATGTGCCATTGAGTTAGTACTGACTCACAGCAATGCTATACAAAACAGAATGAAACACTCTCTGGTTCACTGCCCACCTCACAATCCTTGCTACATCTTACCCTATTGCTGCTGCTACTGTGCAAATCCATCTCGTTCAGTGTCTTCCTTTTTTTTCCTCCGACCCTCCACATTAGCAAACATGATATTCTTCTTCAGGGAATGAATGGTACCTCTTGAAAATATGCCCAAAATATGAGAGACAAAGTCTGGCCATCCTGGCTTCTAAGGAACATTCAGGCTGTGCTTCTTCCAACACAGATCTGTTTGTTCTTTTGTCAGTTCATAGTACTTTTAATATTCTTCTCCAACACCATAACTCAAATACATCAACTATTCTATGGTTTTCCTTATTCTCTGTCCAACATTCACATGCATAGGAAGTTATTGAAAATACCAAGTTTTGAATCAAGTGTACCTTAGACCTCAAACTGAAATCTTTGTTCTTCAACACTTTAAAGAGGTCTGTGTAGCAGATTATGCTTAATGCAAAACGTCATTTGATTTCTTGAATACTGCTTCCATGAATGTTGATGGTTGATCCAAGGAAAATAAAGTCTGACAACCACAGTCTTTTCTTCATTTATATGAACATTGTTTATTGTTCCCATAGTGAAGATTTTTGTTTTCTTTGCATTGAGATGTTACGCATATCGAGGGCTGTTGTTGTTAGGTGTCATCAGCTTTAATCTTCATCAGTAAGTATTTTAAGTCCTCATCCTTTTCAGAAAGCAATGCTATATTATCTGCATATGTTATTGTTCTTAAGTGCTGTTGAGTTTATTCCGATCCATAGCAACCTTGTATAAGGTTTCTAAAGAGCAGCTGTTGAACTTGAGCCTCCCGAACTTGCCTTTCAAACTGACTTTGCAGTCCAATGCATTAACCCACAGTGCCACCATGGGACTCCTCTTCTGCATATAGCAGGCTGTTAGTTAATTTTCCTCCTACCATGATGTTATGTTTCACTTCATGTAATCCAGCTTCTCGGATTATGTGCTCAGCATACACATTGAATATGTATGGTGATAGTATGAATACAGCCCTGGCCCACACCTTTCTTGATTTTAAATCCTCCAGTGTTTCCTTGTACTGTTAAAAAACAAAAACTGCCTATGTATAGATTTTTCAAGAGCCAATTAACTGTTCCAGAATACTCATTCTCTGCAATGTTGTCCAAAGCTTGTCCAATGTTGTCCACAATTGAAAACCTCTGCATAGTTGGAACCGACTCAACGGCATTTAACAACAACAAGCATAGTCAATAAAGCACAGAGAATTGATAGAATAGAAATTGGTGTAATACAAATTGAAATCTTTCAACAAGTTGATGTGGCACTGGAGGTACTCAATCATCTATGCAAGAAATTTGGATAGTGTCTGGGATGAAAAATTAGAAAGGTTAACATAATAACAGCATTTTTTAAAAAATCAAGGCGTAACATTTGCCAGATATGTGACACAATATTTATGAAATGCAAAAAAGAAAACTTTTCTGCTTTTTGTTTTTAACAGGCATTCTCAGAGGAATGGCAAGTAGTTTGGTTACTATTCTTAAATAAAAACAGCATGGGTTATAATATCTCAGTGATTAATGTATATTTTCCTTGTCATCTTGTTCCAAAATAGCAAGCCTTTTAAGTTAATATTGAAACCGCCTAGAACAGATACACAAAAATTGCTTTTGAATTTTAAGTGTATAGTAAAGATTTATAACACAAGAAAAAGACTTCTAAAGCAACCCAATTTCAGGATGACACAGCTTCTCAAAATTAATATCACATTTCAAATGCCATATCCAGGTGCCACATACTCAAATATTAATTCAAATTTTTTGAACCATATCATGGACATGAAAGTAGTTTCCTGTTTAGTTAGATTGAACATTTATTCTTTCTCAATCAGAGCTGGTGATGAGTTTGCACCACCAACCTTTTGGTTAACATCTAAATACTTAGCCATTATACCATCAGGGCAAGTCAAACATAATAATGGAATAGTATAAAATAAGTAAGTGACCTAATTTAGAGGTTCTATAGCTTAATCTTGGTGTGGCGCTGTGGGTTAATGTGCCAGACTGCAAAACCATTTGAACTGCAAAGTTGGTGGTTCAAGCTCACCAGGCTAGCTGCTCCTTGGAAACCCTATGCAGGGTCGCTATGGGTCAGAATTGACTCTATGGCACTTAACAACAACAACAACATAGTTTAATCCACTGGTACTACTGTGTTATTATGCTTAACCTATTCTTTTTCTTTCTTTTCTCACAAAATAGGAAATCTTATTCTTGATCTGTACACAGTTTGTTCTAAAAGAGAAGCAATATTTATTTCTTCACAGAACACACAAAATAGTCTCTTATTTCAGGACTTGCTCTGGTTTGTCTCACTGTCTAGAGTGATCCTCCTCTAGATTTCTCAGATGCTTGGTCTCTCACCTTTTCAAGATTTGGCCTGTTGCTTCTGAGTATATCCATATCACATGAAACATATCTCTCACATAGTAGTTGTAACTTATTTTATGATGACAATCATTAATATTACATTCCTTAAAGATGGAAGGTTGTTTGTGTTTGTTTATTTGTTTTCCATAAAGTCATTGCTATGCATAACAGAAATCATGAATTAATTTTAATAAAATAAATTCCCAGTAGCAACCAACATGTTTTTATAGAGACTATATTACATATTGAGTTTTCATAACAAAAGAAGTGCAGATCACAATACAATACTCTTTTAAGTAAAGTCATGAAGTGATATCTCCATAAATCACATTCCACGCTTTAAAAAAAAAAAAAAAAAAACTATATAGAAATTACAGGAAACAGTAGAAATGTTGCACAACAGCAAAAACAATAAAAGCAAAACACGTAAATGCAACACATAATATTAGGTAATATTAGGTAGGCAAAAACAAATACAGCATAACAAAACAAAAAGCTTTTATGGCTGGTTATAAACTAAAATTCATAGTTTCTTATTGAGAAACTTAGGATACTTTCTAAAGGAAAATGACAGAGTTTTGTTTTGTGTGTATAGGAACCCACTTGACTCCACCTAACAACAGCAACAAAGGAAAACTGACAGTTTAAAAGATTTCTGAGTATTAGGATATGTCAAATCCATATTACATATGCTTTGGATATTTTTAAAATATGCAAATTGTCTGCTTCAATCTTAAGCATTTTGATAGGAACACATTTGAAATTATTATATTTGTATTTATTTCTGGGGCAGGAGTGATAATAACAATTCATCATTAGTATTATAAAGTATTTTCATGTCATCCAAAGTAAGTTTACAGAAATTGGTACAAAAGTTTCTTTTACTATTAAATAAGCCTGGAAAATTTGTAGAATATAAACATTGAAATAGATGTTTGTGTTTGGTTGCTCTAGTCTATTATTTACTTATAAATTGTAGTAACGTAAAAAATTAAATAAAATTGTATGACAAGGCTAGATAGAATTTTGGAAGATAATTTAACATATTTTTATTTCATATTTGTTTTTTCCAGCTTGGCCTGCTTTTGTCATTGTATACACTACATTCGATGTCTTATGGAAACCTTATTTGTTCACAAAGTTTCTGGGCGACACACACCTTTGACAAATTTGGTGACGGTAGGGATTAATATGTTTTATAATTTTAATGATTATGTATATGCAAACTGGGAGAGGCAGTCTTTTTTTTTCCTTCATGCCTAGATTTATTGGAACTAAAAAAACAACAACAAAGTAAAGCAAAAGCAGAAAAAACAGGTGCCCTTAGAGTGGATTCTGACTCATGCCAATCCCATATGTGTCAAAGTTTTCAAGTCTGTGACTTATCTAAATCAAATACCCAGTTATTACCTCTGACATTTTAAAATGTATTTTGAATTACCACCCTTTAACTTAATAGCCAAATACTTAACCATTTATGCTACTTGATAGATTCTACTAGTAACACTAACTAAAATAATTTTTCATGACCTTAAGCTACAAGAGATAATCACACTACACCCAAGCATCTTTAAATTTTGGGAATAATTATTTAATTCTGATCCTTAAAAATGTACTTAAAAGGAAGGAATCTTACATATGAACAATCCTATAAATATAGTGATTATAATAATATTATTATATCTTATGTATAAGACAGCTATCAGTGTGATAATATTGTCTTTCCTGTTTCAAGAAAGATGAGGCAAACCATGCCACTCCTTTCAAGCTTCAAATAACTAACAAGGAACTGGGAACATTTTTAAAATACCGAAGAGGAGATGCACATTGGAAACATCTTAACCTTCAATTTTACATCTCAAATTAAAATTTAATTTCTGATGAACATGTGTTTGTAATAGTCATGGATATCTTTAAACAGAACCCATAAAGTGAATGGAAAAATGGATTTAAAAAATAGAATTTACATATACTATTCTTTATAGACATCATTTTATCAACTTTGACTAATAGTAATCCATATGAGAAAGTAGAATTATCTCATAAGATTTTTTAGGCTGTTGTCTTTAGTGGAGCAGATAGTCAGGTCTTTTTCCCATAGAAACACTGAGTGTTTTGAAAGTTCAAACTGCAATTCTTTAGGTTATCAGGGCAAAGCTTAACCACTGCACCACCAGGACGCATGCTCTTTCTCATCATATATACATCTATACAGTGGTGGTAGAGGTGGTGGTGTATTGTTGAGTCTAAGGATGTAAATTTATATGGTAGCAGTAATTCCCATATTTCTGCCATGGAACAGCTGCTGTGTTGAACTGCTCAATCAGCCCAAAGGATAACTTACTAGGACACAAGTATTCGATGTATGTATGTGTTGCTGCAGGATAATGCGCTGGAACTTAAAGTCAGTTTGAATCACAAATTGGCGTTTCAAACCAGCCATGTATATATACATGTTGCTGTTAAGTGCCCTCGAGTCGTTCCAACACATGGAGACCCTGTGTAGTGTTTCTGAGGAGTGGCTAGAGGGTTTGAACTGCCAATCTTGCCAATCAAACGACTTTGCTGTTTAGTGCATTAACCCACAGCTCACCAGCCGCTCCTTTGGAAACCCTATGCAGAGTCGCTATGGGTTGGAACAGACTCGGCGGCACTTCACAACAATAATAACATATATGATTGTTTGTGTGTGTAAGTTGTTATTGTTAAGTGCTGTCGAGTCTGTTCCTACTCATAGCGACTCTGTATAAGGTTTCTAAACAGCGGCTGATGGGATTGAATTGCCTACATTGTGGTTCGCAGTTCAGTGCTGATCCTGTATGATTTCTTTCAAAGAATTGGGTAAGAATATCTGGGGTATGTCAAATCTGAAATTTGTAAAGCCAGGGGATTTTTGTTCAGAGGTTTTTGCAGCCTTGAGATTCATTATTTCTCTCTCTCTTTGTATTTTTTTTTTTTTTTTTTTCCAATCAGGAAAACCTCCACTTTGTTTTAAGGCATATTAACTGAGTAGATGAGATCCACACCACATTATAAGGAATAATCACTTTTACTTAATTCATTCTAGATGTTAATCACATCTACTAATAACTCAAGAAAAATACCTAGATTAGTCCTGGTATGGCGCTGTGGGCTAATGCATCAGAATGTAAAGTCCTTTGAACTGCAAGGTGAGTGGTTCAAGCTCACCAGCTGCTCCTTGGAAACTCATGCAGGGTTGCTATGGGTCAGAATTGACTCGACGGCACTTAACAACAACAACAACAACATAGCCTAGTCAGGCTGACACATAAAGTTAACCATAATAATATCCTTACCAAAGCTACTTTTTTGAAAAGTTCTCTAAAAACTTCGGTAAGACAACCATTGCATTTTTAAACTATGCTACATGCTAGTAGTAGGAGCGATCTCAGAAATCTTTCTGTCCAGCTTCTTCTTTAACATAAGATATTAAGATTTATTATATCAGTACAAAATCATGGCGGTAGCTTAACCCAATGAAGTCGAGTTACTTAGTACACTTATATAATGTTTCTGAGGCTGTAAATCTGTAAGGAACCCTCTGGTGCTGTGGGCAAATGTGTCAGACTGCAGAGTCATTTGCACTGCAAGGTTGGTGGTTCAAGCTCACCAGCTACTCCTTGGAAACCCTACACAGGGTCGCTATGGGTCGGAATCGACTCGACGGCACTTAACAACAACACAGAGCTACTCAAACTCAAGAATTCCTAAAACCAGACCTTTTTCTCATTTATAATCAATGAATAAGTGTTAAACTAGTAATTAAGTAAGTTTTTATTTGTTTAATATTAGAGAAGGAATACTTGCTGTAGCTTTTAATTTAGATAATGTATCTATATATTTTTATTACTTTACTCATGTTTGTTACTTAACATACAGAAAGCATTCGCAAAAATATATACTTACATATTTTTAATATCTAAGTATATTAAAATATATAAATTTAGTTTTATAGAAACATGCATTTCTATAAAAATATATTTCTAAAATATTTTGCTACATTTGCCTATTTCATTAACATAATTTATATGTTGTTATTGTTAACTGCCATTGAGTAGATTCCAACCCATAGTGACTCTGTATAGGGTTTCCAAGGAGCTGCTGGTGAGCTTGAACCACCGACCTTGCAAATCTAACGACTTTGCTCTATGACGCATTAGACCACAGTGCCACATAAGAGTGGAGAAAAGGAATGAATTTGCTTTTAGATATAAAACAAAAACAAACAAACAAAAAACATGTTTTTAAACATGAATATAGTGAGTGAAACAGAAGCAATTTATTAATCTAACCTAGAAATAACTGTACCATTTTGCATGCAAAAGTACTACTGTGGGTGAGAGTAGATAGTTCAATTTGAAATGATGCCATATACAATGTATTTTTCATAATTTTGATTTGTTTTGTTTTGTTTGTAGAGTTGTGCCTTTTACTGGGGATTCACTTCTTGGATTGCCTACTACATTAATCACCCACGGTATACACCCCCATGTATGTTAGATTTTTTTTTCCCCCTTATACAGCCCCATACTAAATTACCATCATTAAATCTGTGTTCTAAAGTTATGTGTAAGCTAAATAAAGGCCAATAGAACACACTTAAAGGAATTAGTAAATAATGCACAAATGCTAGTTTAAAATTGTTTCAACATTAATATCCATTTAGTTTTTTACGTAAGCCTAAAAGAACGCATCAACTGATTTATTTAAATTATTTTATCTATATATAAATTCTGGAGTTCTTGTATGGTGCTGTAGGATAAGCACTGGATAACGAGGTCAGTTTGAATTGTAAGGTTGATGGTTCAAATCCACGAGATGCTCCTCAGAAACCTTACACAAGATCACTATGAGTTGGAACTGACTCAATAACATCAACAACATACACAAATTCTAGGTTAAAAAAAAAAGAAAAATCGTTCATAGTATATCTCCAAAAAGACAAACAGTAAAATGGAAATGAAAGGAACAAATCCTAGAAAATCACACAATAATCAATTGGCAGATATTTTTTAGAAGTAATAGTATGTATGCTGTTGTTAGCTGCTATTCAGTTGGTTCCAACCTACAGTGACACAACATGCAACAAAATGAAAAAATTCCCAGTCTTTGGAGACTCACAAATGTTGTGATGTCCATTGTTGCTACCACTGTATCAATCTTTCTTGTTGTAGTTCTTCCTCTTTTGCATTGACCTTCCACTTTTCTGAGAATAATGTCCTTCTCAGGGACTGGATCCTCCTGATAACATGTACAAATTAACAGAGATGAAATTTTACCATCTTCACTTCTAGGGAGCATTTTGGATGTACTTTTCCCAAGACAGATAAGTTTGCTTATCTGGGGGTCCATGGTACTTTTAATAGTTTTTACCAACACCTTAATTCAACTGCATCTGTTCTATTCTAGTCTTTCTGTTTCATTGTCCAGTTTTCATATGCATATGAAGTCATTGAGAACACCTTGGTTGGGGTCAAGGGCACCTTAGTCCTCAAAAAGATATATTTGCCCTTTTACACTTTAAAGTGGTGTTGTGCTGCAGATTTGCCAAATGCAATAGGTCATTTGATTTCATGAGTTTCAATTGTGGAATCAACAAAGTTAAATATTTCACAGCATGCAACTTTTCTTCATTGGTCATAATGTTGTTTATTAGCTCAATTTTAAGGATTTTTATTTTCTTTACAATGAGGTAAAATCCATATTGAAAGCTGTAGTCTTTAATTTCCTCAGTAAATATTTCAAGTAACATTCACTTTCAGCAAGCAAGATTGTAATCTGCATATCATAGGTTGTTAAAAGCTCTTCTTCCAATCCTGATGCCACATTCTTTTTCATATAAACTAGTTTATCAGATTATTTGCTCATCACACAGATTGAATAAGTATGGTGAAAGTATGCAAACCTGGGACATGTCTTTCCTGATTTTAAAACATTCAATATCCTGTTGTTCTGTTTGAACAATTACTTCTTGGTCTATGTACAGGTTCCTCGTGTTCTTGTTAGGTGCCATCGAGTTGGTACCAACTCATAGCGACCTTAGGTACAGCAGAACGAAACACTGCCTGATCCTGGGCCAACCTCACTACTGTTGCCACACTTGAGTAAATCAATGCTGCCACTTAGCCAATCCATCTCATTGGGGGGTCTTCCTCTTTTTCTCTGACCCTCCACCTTAACAACATGATATCCTTCTCCAGCAATTGGTCCCTCCTGACAATATGTCCAAAGAATGAGAGAAGAAATTTGGTGATCTTGGCCTCCAAGGAGCACTCTGGCTGCACTTTTTTCCAAAATGGATCTATTGGTTTTTTTGGCAGCCCATGGCACTTTCAATACTCTCCTCCAACATCATAACTCCAAAGCATCAATTCTTCTACAGTCTTCCTTATTCACTGTCCAGCTTTCGCATGCATATGAGGTTATTGAAAACACCATGGCTTGGGTCAGGAGCAGCTTAGTCCTCAAGCTGACATCTTTGCTCTTCAACATTTTAAAAAGGTCTTGTGCAGCAGATTTGCCTAATGCAATACGTTGTTTGATTTCTTGACTGTTGATTCTGTGGCTGTTGATAGTTGATCCAAGAAGAATGAAATCCTTGACAATTTCAATGTTTTCTCCGTTGATAAGAATGTTGTTTATTGATCAAGAGGTGAGGATTTTTGTTTTCTTTACATTGAGATGCAATCCATACCGAAGACTGTGCTCTTTGATCTTCATCAGTAAATGTTTTAAATCCTCTTAAGTTTCAGCAAGCAAGGTTGTATAATCTGGTTATCACAGGTTGTTAAAAATGAGTCTTCCTCAAAGCCTGATGCCATGTTTTTCTTCATATAATCCAGCTTCTAGGATTATTTGCTCAGCATAGAGGTTGAATAAGTACGGTGAAAGAATACAACCTTGTCAGACACTTTTCTTAATTTTAAACCATTCCGTGTTCCCATGTTCTGTTTGAACAACTACCTCTTGGTCCATGTACAGATTCCTTATGAGCACAATTAAGTGTTCTGGAATACTCATACTTCTCAATGTTGTCCATAGCTTGTCATGATCCACACAATTAAAAGCCTTTGCATAGTCAATAAAGCACAGATAAACATCTTTCTGATAGTCTCTGCTTTCAGTCAAGATCCATCAGACATCAGCAATGATATCCCTCATTCCACGTCCTCTTCTGAATCAGGTTTGACCTCTGGAAGTTCTCTGTCAATGTATGCTTGCAGCTGTTTCTGTATTATCTTTAGTTAAACTTTGCTTGTATGGGATATCAAAGAGATTGTCCGATGATTTCCGCATTCTGTTGGGTCAACTCTCTTTGCAATGGGCACAAATATGGATCTCTTCCAATCAGTTGGCCAGATTTCTTTGCAGAGATGAGTGAGTGCCATCTCATTTTCTTGAAAATTTTCAATTTTTATTCCCTCAATTCCTGGTGTGTTGCTGTTTGCCAATTCCTTCAATTCACCTTGGAATTCCTCCTTCAATATTATTGGCTCTTGATCATATGCTAACTCTTGAAATGATTAAACATTGACCATTTCCTTTTGGTACAGTGACTCTGTGTATTCCTTCCATTTTCTTTTGATACTTTCTGCATCATTCAATAATTTGTCTAGATAATCTTTCAATAATGAAAGTAAAGGCTTGAATTTTGTCTTCATTTCCCTCAGCTTGAGAAATGTTGAACATGTTCTTTGTTTTTGGTTGTCTGAATCCAGATATTTGTACATTTTGATGTAATATTTGGCTTTATCTTCTTGAGCTGATCTTTGAAATTTTCAGTTCAGCTCTTGGACCTCCTCACTTCTTCCATTTGCTTTAGCATCTTTACACTGGACAGCAAGTTTCGGTGTCTTTTCTGACATCCATTTGAACTTTTCCTTCTTTCTTGTCTTCTTGCTTTCTTCAGGTATGCTGTTCTTTATGTCATCCTACAACTCTTCTGGTCTTGGGTCTTTAGTGTTTAAAATATCAAATCTGTTCTTCAGATGATTTCTAAATTCTTTTGGGATATATTCAAGGTCATATTTTGGCTCTCATGGCCTTGTTTTCATTTTTTTCAGTTTCATAAATATCTTTACATAGACAATAAAGCACAAATAAACATTGTTCTGGTATCCTCTGCTTCAAACAAGATCCATTTGATGTCAGTAATGATATTCCTATTTTCATGTCCTCTTCTGAATCTGACTTGAATGATTTACAGCTACCTTATGTTGTACTATTTTAAATCTTTTAAAATTATTTTCAGAAATAAATTCATTTGTATATGATATTGTTTGATGCTTTTCACATTCTAGTTGATCAGCTTTCTTTGAAATGTACTCAAATACATTCTCTTCTAATTGGTTGGCCCACTAGTTTTCTTCCAAATTTCTTTATATAGACAAATGAACGCCTCCTGTGATACATAACTTTCTTAAAACATTTCAATTTGTATTCCATTAATTCCTTGAAATATGTTTAACATCAGTGCCTTGAGTACAGTTTGGACTTCTTTTAATACCAGTGGTTCTTGATCACATTGTACTTCTTGAAATTGTTGCACATTGACCATTTCTTTTTGGCACAGTGACTGTGTATTCCTTCCACCTTCTTTCTAGCATCATTCAATATTTTGCCCAGAAAATCCTTCATTCAATATTACAGGTAGAGGCTTAAATTGTTTCTTTAATTCTTTCAGTTAGAGAAATTTGAGTATGTTCTTCTCTTTTGGTTTTCTAACTCCACATCTTTGCATTTTATTTGCTTTCTCAAGCTGCTATTTGAAAATTTCTGTCAAGCTCTTTTATTTCCTAATTTCTTTAAATCACTTAACTTTTCTATGCCCAAAAACAAGTTTCAGAGTGTCTTCACATCCATTTTTATCCTTTCTTTCTTTCCTGTCTTTTTAATGACATTTTGCTTACTTCTTGTATAATATGCTTCATGTCATCTCACAACTCTTTTCTGGTTTTTGTTATTAGTTTACTATGCATCACAATTACTCTTGAGATAGTCTCTAAATTCAGGTGGGATAAATTCAAGGTCATATTTTGGCTCTAATTGACATTTTTAATTTTCTTCATCTTCTGCCTGAACTTGCATATAGTCAATTGATGGCCTGTTGCACAGTTGGCCCCTGCCATTATTTTGACTGAAGATATTGCGCTTATGCATGATCTCCTTCCACAGATGTACCCAATTTGATTTCTGTACATGCGATCTCATGAAGTCCATGTGTATAGTATGTTATTGAAAAATGGCATTTATAATGAATAATTCACTGATATGACAAAATTATATCATATGATCTCCAACACCATTTCTATCACCAGGGCTGTGTTTTCCAACTACTAATCCTTGTTCTTTATTTCCAACTTTTGCTATCCATTCACCAGTCATACTCTACTATGCATCTTGACTGTATGTTTGATCAATTTCAGATAGAAAAAAGTTGATAAAATTATTCAAATTCATCATCATTGGCTTTAGTGCTTGGTGGATAAATT